TGCGAAATGCAACAACATTAAAAATGAAGAAGCATTGGACACTGATGATGCTCAAACCACAGCAACTCTATCTACACTTGAATGATTCAAACATGATATTTTACCAGCGTAAGAGCATACACTCAAGTGCTTATGCCGTGGAATTTATGGCATAATAAAAATGTGCTACGTGCAAACAGCGCCAACGCCATGACAGAATGAGAGTCGGAGAAAGAGAGAAAAAGAATGAGTATATTTTGTGTTGAAGGTGTTTTGGATGTTAACCATTCCATTTTACACCTGAAAGAACAAGAATGTTTACAGACTGCCGCTGATGATGGTAACTGGATACTCGAAAGAGAGAGAGAGAGAAAATAGTCCAACACATAAAAATGCAAATATTCTAGTTCTTTAAGAATCTCATTTTCGAACCGACATTTTTGACTCGATCATTTGGTTCGAACAATTTTTTTGCTGAAATTCCCTATAATATTTTTCTGAATCAATTATTATCGTTAATAAATTCAAAAATATCTTAACCAGAGGAATTTTGATTTCGAATATTACTTTTTCCCGAAATTTATTCCACTCTAACAATTCCAAACATAGAATTCTTCTGAAAATCCGACAAGTTCTACTGAACGGTTTTTTTTTCGAAAATAGAAGTTCAAGTTTACAACACGACGTATATTCTCCGAAAAACCATGCAAAAATAGAGTGTTTTCAGACTAAACGACAACAATTTTTCGGACTAAATGATGTGAGGCAACAGTGTTAAATTTTCCCATTTTTCGCCAAAAAGATAAATAGATTCGGTGCAAACTGATCTAAATATCGATTCGATCGGAAAGCTCTTTGATTCCGTAGCCGTATTTATCGTTTGAATCTGTTTTCCGGTCGTAAATACAATGAGCAGGCAAAGAAAAATTGAGAAAGAAGGCGAAAGAGAGAGAGAGAATCAACACGAAAAAAAGACGGATAGACAGAAAGAAATGTTGAAGGGGCGAAGCGCATGTGTTGGTTTATTAAATGCTAAATATCTAGGGAATGTGGACGTAATTTACTTTCGACGAAAAAGGAAAAGAAAACATGAATTATTGCGGCTAAATCGATGCGGTAAAATGTATGTTTTGCTATGCGTCACAAAGTAAGGCCAAAATTTATGCCAATTTTCATTGGGTTTTGTTTTGTTGTGTTTGCACGAAACGGTGGAAAATCGTCCAGTGCAAATGAAACTATGATCCTCACATTTGCTAGAGTTATTTCGTTATTTATATTGTGTTACGAATATTGAAGCTCTTTCTTCCTTCCTTCGTTTGTCCGCATAACTACACCGTCGGGCGAAAATACACACACACATACACACACACCGGAAAATCAATAAAAGTGAACAGTCATAATCATCTATCGTTACTTACAATCGACCCGCGTACCATCATTCATCCATTTGTTCGGTAATGTGGCAAGCATTATGGTCATTTTTCGCTGTCATTCGATTCAAAGAAAAACGAAATATATTTTTTATTCGGTTATTTTTCTTCGTTGGCGACATTTTACAATCACTGGTAATAAAATACATGGATAAGCGATTGAAATGTGAGGAGGATTCCGGCGGAATCGGGGGTGTCAATGAGAAAAATGTCTCAATATAATTCGAAAAGAATAAAAACCGATAAAGGAAATGGTTGAAATTGAGAAATGTGTGTGTTTATGCTATAATCGAAGAATATGGGTATTCCGGTCCACCATTCCATAAATTGAACAATAACAATCCACAATTTCTTTTTGCTTTCTCTCTCTTCCTCTCCCACCCCGCTTCATTTTATTTATTTTGTAATTTATTTAAATGGATAGACTGACACCAATTCATATCACATTTGTGCCCATTAGTATGGGCACATCGCACACATTCACTGCACCGACATCAAAAATTCAATAGAGATAATATTCATTTCAATATTTGCAAATATGATCAAGTTGTGTTGGTGTGTGTGTGTCTTCTTTTCTTCTTCTTCATCTCTGTTCAATATTGAATAGCCAATCTGGTATTATTTGAAAGATAAATTCGAATTTCTATCGCGCTTCAATTCTTCGTCTTTTTTTGAATTTAAGATTCAGGTTCACGACACACAATAAACTTTTCATTGCACATACGTGTTATGAAAGAAAGAAATGAAAAAAATGGCCATTCTTATACAAAGTATTTGGAATATTAATCGAATATTCTTCTATTGTAATGGAGCTGCTTCTGGTGGTGATGCCTCCCGCATGTATGACATTAGCAGGCGATTGCGTTTGCCCATACAGTCGTATCGATAAAATATTGGTATTTACAGACGAATGACGATGAATGTAACCACCCAACCACTACGACCACCACCACACCGCCACCATCATCATGATCGTATCCGCCACCATTGCTACCACCATTTGCTTCGACTTGAAATGGAAACCAAAATGAGAATGGAATAACGGAAAGTGAAATATATAGTTTGCAGCAATAAATTTATGTCTATCGACGGCTTTTTTTTTCACTTCGTTTTCGTCTTCATGTATTTTGCGAAATTCATACGTTTGCATCGTTCGCTGCTTGAGCTCATATTCTGTTGGCGTTCGCTGATTTTCTCGTCGTACACACAGCGTTGCAATATTTTTGCTGCCGTTCCCAGCGTTAGCATTCATTTTTTTTTTTGCTTTATATCGTTCTATTTTTCTCGTTTCTCTCTGCTAACCTATTTTCCAGCAGTTCGTTTTATGCTTTATTTTGTAAAAAATTTATCAAATTCGGTTGCACATATTCCAATGAGCAGAAAAATGGACCATGTTTCGAGCGCAACTGAATCTTGAAAATAGAAAACCGACATTCACATTGTGAACTTCATTGGAATTTAACGCGTACATGGACCTTTACGAAGTAAACGGGTGAACACTCTTATGCGTCTCATCACTCACAGTCATATTCGCTCAAAGTTGTGTTATTATTATTATTTTTTTTGAAGCGGGCGAAATGCCGACATGAAGCGAAACAATTGTGCAGTGAGTATGTGCATTGTGCGAAAAGTGCACAAAATGTATGCGAGTCTCACTCTGCATGAAGTACACTTTGGTCGATGTTGCTGCAATTTTATCATTATTTTTTCAAGCCATCTAACTCTTGCAATCGTTATACGTGCTTTTTTTGCTGCAGACACTTGTAATACGCGAAAATAATAATAATACAAAATGATATATCAGTTGGAAGTATACTATGTGCATATAATTTTGTGCTCTAGTTTCGCCAATTTCACTTGCTGGGTGTGTATGTGTCTTGACTCGCTTCTTTTTTCTTACTTAAATGTCTCTGTCTCTCTCACTGCTTCGTACTGTGTGAGTTTATTATTCTACCTTAAATCTTTGGCATGTTGAAAAACACACTCCATGCTATGATGAATGATAGAATGCATTTGATATTTTTCCACAGACATTCTGCATCGAAATGTAAAGCGAATGAGTGTATGTGTCGTTCAACCAGTTTACGGCAATAATTTTTGATATTTTTATAAAAATTCTCGACGTATAAAGGATTTTCCGCCAATTTTTTCTCTACTCGAGTTTACTTTATTATTAAATCTAATACTATTCATTTTTCTATTTTTACTTTTTGGTTTATGTTTGAATAGAAATGATTTGCTTGGATCATTTTGGACGTTGAATTGAAGCGAATACTTCTTTTTTTTACAAATTTAATATTCAAGAATGTCTGCAGACGGGTCTTATTTTGATTTCCTTTCCGTTATTTTCGGTTTCCTTGTTGCGTTACTACCTTTTCCACGAATCATACTCAATTTGCAGAATTTCGAATGGCACTTTACTATTACTTTATATATTCAGCTACTTTTTCTCCGGGAAATTCGTCCATTGAGAATGAAAAAAAGGAAGATTGCAACCAGGTATATGGCGTTGAATGATTGATGCACATCATGCGATATGCATCATCGATGAATTGAAATTTCTCTTGAGAGTCGTGGTGTAGAAAGTCGTAAAAAATTGAAATCGATGGAATCTATTTGATTGGATATTGAAAATCATTAAGATTGCATAGAGTCGTTCGCCATATTTTTCATTGCTAAAATAACAATAATAAAACAACGACGATGATGAAAGAGTTCCTTTCACTTTTTCCGCTTGTATTAATATCGAATAATGAAATTGCTTCGTGCTATTGCTTGTAATAAAATGGTTCGCTTAATATACCGATAAGAAAAATATCTACGATATAAATATGAAAATTGAATAAAGAAAATATTTTTCGAAATTAAAAAATACTTTGCAAGATGAATGAAACTGCATTATTATTTATGTACGCAGAAAATGCGATGTTTATTGATTTAAAATCAAATGAAAATGAATTTCATTCATTATTCACGTCAAAAGCAATGCTTTTTATAATTTTCATTCCATTTTCAAGTACCCGTAAGTATTTCTTTTGAGAGAATTGATTTAGTTGATAATTAATAAATAATGAGGATGTCTTCATGAATTGAATTATTGGCGCATGCCCTGAATGTTATGAAGACCGAAAAAGATGTGTATTTTCAACTTTTCGTGCCAGTCAGTCAATCAGCCAAGTGAAGCATCATCTTCGTTCTGTCAATTTATGCTGATGATTCAATTTATTTTACCGAAACTATATTGATAAGCATTGCAGTTTTCTCATCGAAATTGTTGCATAAGTGACTTTTTCAAAAGAATCAGCAACAATAGTCCATCGGAGCCACCTGTTGAGATGATGCATTGTTTGTGCTCATTTTATTTACTTCCACTCTGAAGCATAGTAAAAATGTCATTGTTTTTGCTCGATTTTCAAATCGAATTGTTCCAATTTGTATTAGTTCCAAATCGTTCATTCTATTGTATTTTGTGTGCGCTGTGCGCTGTATTTCACTGGCAAAGCTTTCTTATTGCTGCAATCGCTCTGATGCAATAAATCTTAAATTGATTTTGAATTAATTTGATGTGCTTTTTCTCTCCGTTTGTTACAGGTTTCTTCTTCCAGCAACCAAACGTACATAATTACCTCTGGTAAATAGAGTCGAGATTGCAGTGCTGCAACATCGATTGAGAAACGGTTCACAAGTGGAAGAACCCCATTGAAAACTATTGGATTGTAAGAAGGGAAAAAAAGGAATCCTTTGGGTAAAATGAGCAACGTTAACGGAAACACACAGACAGACAGCGATAAAAATTATTGAGTGGAAAAAGTGTGCATGAAAGCACAAGAGCAAAAGCAACAAAACAAATCGTCAATGATTTGCAAATGCAAAAGCAATGTTTTTAAATGAATGAGCAGTTACCGAGAACTGTGCAATTGAGTTGCAGTTGTATTTTCTGCGTTTAGTTCGTCGACATTACAAAAAGAGCAGCGAACAAGACCAACAGCTATAACAACAGAAAAGTAAAAACAAAAAAGTGAGAATTTTGGGCCGCGTCGAAAAAATAACCGACAAAAAAACACCGAGCATCAGGCGATAATAAGTGGACGGTCGTTTTTGTGTATTTTTGGCAATTGAAAACCATTCAACCAAATTCAATTTGTCCGGAATCCCTTTTTTCGTCCATTTGCTCTCGTTTTGTGTGTCGTTAATAACACGACAGAACACGCCTCACAAAAAATTTATGCTCATCTTCGATCGACCGAGAATACGAGCGCGACAAACTATTGTAGAATAAAAAAAAGAAGACAAAGAGACATATATGAAAATCGAAAACCAAAACCAAATTCGTTGAATTGTTTTCGCTCGTTTTTCTCTGCAGATGCATCAGAAAGGGACCGAATAACACGAAGCATTTGCTGGCAAATATGCTTTTTTATCCAATAGAAAAATATATGATGGCTCACGGCCATACATAATTGCGAGAAAAAGTTTGTGCGCGCTTTTTTTAATATTCTCGTTTGTTGTGGAGCAATTTTTTTTGCAACGTGATAAACAATCGAATAGACTAGAATAAAACGAAAAACATTTTTTTGGTCGATTTGTTAATTTGTTTTTGGCAGATCACAATCACAAACTAACGAGACAAGCGAGGACAGTGGGGCAAACAACAAGAACTTTTCGAGACTTTGCCAAATGATCAAATGATAACATAAATTGAAAAAGGCCATCAAACGACCAGTGAACAATATTTAAAAATAATTTACCCCATAAAAGAGTTGAAAAAAGAAACACATTTTTATAAAAACGCATATATTTGACAAACGACGTCGACGACGCACAACACATACAGAGAGAGACACCAAGTTAATAAATTACCATTTCAAACGAATAATGTAAACGAATTGAAATGCTATGGTCATGACGCGTAACGGTCAGAAACCGCAATATGAATTATGGTGCCAACAAAATGCCAGCATTACCAGCACTGTCACTAAAACGATTTACGTAACCGCTGTGATGATGAGCCTGCTGCTGCTGCCACCAATCGGTAAGTACTTTTATGTATTATTTATGCGTTAATATGTGCATTGAAATTTTTATTTGGAAAACAACGAAAATCCATTTTCCGGTGAAAATCATCCTTTTTCAAACACAGACATAAAACTTATTAATATTAATTGGTTACGTATTTTATGTGAAATCGGCATGGCAATAACTAATTAAGGCCTTGATTAAAGACCCGACTGAACGGCTATTTTATATTATACTCTGCAGTACGGGATTAACGAATGGCGATCAATTTTAATTTTCCGAATATATCTTCCTCCGCATCCAATTCTAACGATCTTCTGCCGAATCCGAAGTAGCGAGAAAAAAAATTAAAGTAAAAAGAAAATAAACGAAGCGCATTGAGTTGTTTGTTTATATGACGCACAGACAGGTCCTTGTCTTGTTAATTGCAGTAATGAATGTGTATATTTACAATGGCATTAAAGAGGCAAAAACGAGCGCGTAACAAATTCCAACAAATAAACGACTTTGAATGAATCTTTTTCGGTGCCATTTTCTTCTCGAATTTCTTTTCATTAAATTCACAGCGAATTCAACCTCATGAACTTTGTTGAATTTTAAGCGTGCGCCTCCGTACACATTAACTCGTTTCGACTTTTCGTTCGGGTGATTCGTTGAATTGATTTTCGACAAACGACAAAAAGTTGCCAGTGTTGTTGGGGTACGGAGGTAAGTGAGTGAATGTGTGAGTTTTGGGTTCGTTTAAATAATAAAAAGGAAGGAAAATTGTTATTGCGTTCTGCAATTTTGGCACAGACAAGCCGATTCCACGTAATCCATTAACATTTACATTTTGATGTTGATACTAGACCGTGCAAACGAATGCTATATCCAATAAATAGATACAAAACAGCACAGCCATACCATTCAGATACACTTTCGGCTAATGAAATCAAAACGATGGTTTGCAATGCGCTTTCACATTATACTTTGTACATACGACATACACCTAATCGTTTAAGTACACACACGGGAATAATGTATAGATTATTAGTAGAAATGATTTTTTTTCTTAAATCTATACAAAAGTTTAGATATCTCAACAAAAATTTATTTTTTATTAAAAAAATATTTTCTCAATTTCAATAAATATTCCGATACATATTTATCAACGAGCGCCAAAATACATCATTTAATACAGCCTTTTCTCTTCACACGAAAGAACAACAACAATTACATGGCTACACTCGAACGGCGACTATAGAGAATGCAACCACTACTTATGCAAACAACGTTGTCGTTTGTGTCTTACATGCTTCCACTGACTCGCCAGTTGAAGTGATGCGTGTGTAGTAGTTGACTTCTATATAGTTGCCGTTCCAATGTAACAAGACACGTTGTTTGCATAAGTAGTGGTCGCATCCTCTATAGTCGCCGTTCGAGTGTAGCCATGTAATTGTTGTTGTTCTTTCGTTTGAAGAGAAAAGGCTGTATTAAATGATGTATTTTGGCGCTCGTTGATAAATATGTATCGCAATATTTATTGACATTGAGAAAATATTTTTTTAATAAAAAATAAATTTTTGTTGAGATATCTAAACTTTTGTATAGATATCTAAACTTTTGTATAGATTTAAGAAAAAAAATCATTTCTACTAATAATCTATACATTATTCCCGTGTGTGTAGCCATGAATTGGCTGATAAAAAAAAGAATGTAAGAAAATCCAGTCTGATCGGATTTCGTGTGGAAAAAAATCAAAGAGCAGAAGAAAGTGCCGTTGGTGTTTTGTTGCACGTATAAATATTGTATTATCATTACATTCTCTACCTATTTTATTTTTCATGCATATGACCGGTTTCCATCTATTTAGCAATTTCGAATTTTGTTTTTTTTTTTTTATTGCAAACGTTTTGCCATTAAACGTGTAATCCTAAATGGGTGCAGAAAATGACCTTTCGTCATCCGTTTCGATTCGGATGAAATGAATGAGTTATGCATCGAAATGAAAATTGACTCCCGGTTAACTTTGACTCGGCGCAAGCATGCAATCTAAGTCGTTATCACTCCAATATGATGGGATTTTGTATTCCGAGCATATAATGTTTGCAAAGTACATAGCTGAAACGTGTTTATGATTAGGGATCTCCGGGGATCTCTTAATCGGATTTACTTTACACGAAATATTATGATATTATGACGAATAAAAAAGCGGGTGAAAAATTGAAGAAAAAATACAACACCGAATTAAACATCCATGGAGTGTGTTATCTGGAAAACATAAAAGAAACATGTGTTCAATAGCGAACGTGAACAAGTCTCAATTCATGTATACTTGAATATACACTACAGATAACAAATACTTTAGATGGGTTGCATCCGTTGTGAGGACTTTTTTCATTAAAATAGAGCAAATCGAAAATTGTGCCATTTTACAACACGACACCGAGGTTAGGCGTTTTGTCACATAATTTATTATTGTTTTGAAAATGACTCCACTGTCCCAAAACAAAGACAAATGCGGATTAGATAGGTTATCATAGAATGTAACAGCAGAAACTGACAAGCTGTGTTTAGCTTGTCTTTCCTTCACTCATCCCCTGCCACGAACTCCATTTTCTATGGAGAACCAATGTTCACGAACAACGTCAGCTTAATATGTTTCACATTGTCGAGTATTTTTCAACGAACGCACACTTTCAGCGCGACAATATTTCAAATGGTAGAACTTAATTGTCTTCAAACTTCGTGACAATGAGATACTTTGCATGCCACGATATTTTTATAGAAATTTTTCCATCAAGTGTTATACTTTTATCTTTTATGAGTGAGTCTCTCTCTCGCTCTCGCTCTCTCAATTCATAGTGAATTAAGAGAGAAACAAAAAATTTAAGTGCCGGAAACGTTTGAGATGAAATCATAAAAATTCCGCACTATATAGACGTGATTTGAAGCAAACAAAAACGTAACAAATCCACAAATCGTAAAGCAAATTTTTTTTCTCAAGTAGGGCATTCGTTGGATGCCACATTGTGAAATCATCGCGGCAACAAAGTTTTCGGTTTTCTGCTTTTTTGCTGATCTACAAAATTTGCTCTCTCCACCCATCCCAAAGCCAAGTTTACTTTTTGTGGTTTTATCGAACCCAAAACATTCGGAAAAACAAAAGAATACTTCGAAGTGATAAACAGATAGCGTCGTTTCAAAAATGTTGGCTCTCTTTTACGCCAAAAGAGAGAGAGAGAAAGAATCATACCGTAAACACCGTATACACATAACTTTGTTTGAACAATTGTTACGAATAAATTTTTTCGATGCTTTTACTTTTTCGATGTAATGCGCTCCAATTTTCGACAATTTTGTGTATTTGTTACTTCTGTTATCTTTGCACGACGGGAGCAAAATGGAGATTGAACGCAAATAGAGAGGCGGGGGCGGGAGCGGGAGCGGGAGCGGGAGATGAGAATAAAAACTATGCGTACAGTTGTGTAAGGTGGCTGATGTGAACCAACGTATCTGGCATCATACGCACATCAAAAGATGAGATTCTGTGGAGCGCGCACATATCTGCTTAATGGGCCACAATCAACAATGCTTATATATATCCGAATAATTTGGGTGGCTGGGCTTTTGTGTTCGACAACAGTTGTTGTTCACAACAATTCTCACCCCATCACTTTCGTTCGGTGTCTATCTGTGGTTCGGCCAATGCACAAAACAACCGCAAATACAAAACAGCTAGAGCAAACGGGTCAGAGTGAGTGAATAAGTGAAAAACCGCAAGTGAAAATACCAACGAATGAAAAATAAATGAAAGCAAATTAAACGAAACGTTAGCTCTCTCCACGCGTGCCATACTCTATTTCAAAAGGGAAATATATTGTTTGATAAAAAATGGAGAGAATTGCCCGTTCCGTTCCTTTAGTGAACAAACAAAATGTGCTTGTACATATATTGAAACAGTAACCAACTTCCGATTACCGTATTGGAGAGATTGCTGAAAGCAATGACGGAAAAATGGTGAAAGAAAATGTACATTTGCACAAGCGAACAAAAATGATGTTTGAAACAAAAGAGTTGTAAAATAACAGAGGCGTGCAACGGTTCAAGTGACTGAAAAAAAGTGTAGAACATAAACAAAAAAAATATTATATGTCGAAATAGCATATCAACAAAAGAAATTCTGATGCTCAAAAGCAAAACCATTTTTACAAAGGAAATTATGTAAAAAGATACACGATGGCAGAGAGTGAGAGGCGAAATGTGCTAGAAAACTACTGTTTTTACCGATTCTTTTTTGCAAATACGCAAAAGAAACAATTTTCGGTTCGCTTGAAATTGACATCGACCTCGAGCGAACATCATGCACGGAATGTGAACGTGTTCGTTTTTTTTTTCACAAACTTCATCAGTGGAAATGATCATTATTAAAAAGTATAACATTGGCATTTTATTGTTGCCATGCAATTTTTTTTTTTTCATCTCTCACACTCTTCAATGTTTTTCGAGCCATAAGATAAGCCGTTTGCCAGTGTGAGAATTTCAAGTGGTGGTAATATTCGATAATAATATCGTTATATCACGAGCGTAATGTCTGAATTGTGTCTGTAATCGAGAGCTAATTTTCAGAAAGTTTTATTTTTATCGCAACGCTTTACATGTAATTCTGTCACTTGGTTTGCCGAAAAAAAGGATTATTCGTGTCTTTTCTTTTTTGAAAATCTGATAGCAGTACTTGATCTGTCTTGTCTGCGACACTTTCGAAGTGTGAAAAGAACGTGAACAAAAATAAGATAAACAGACGCATACAAAAATGTTATCATTGCTGTGGTGACTCGCTCATGTTTACGATAGTGAGTGTATGCTGTTTTTTTCGTCAGTGAATACTCCATAGTGTATACAATTCGTTACACGCCATTTCACGCCACATTTACGGTGCACAATGTCGAAACATCTTCCCGCAATATATACTATAAATTATAATCCGTAGAATATTGACAGCTTGTGCGTGTATTCAAAAAGGATTGATATATTCCG